ATTTAACTCCGTGTCGTCCCCACATATCTAAAATGTCTGAAAACATGTCACTACTATCCATGCAGTGATTGTAAAATGTATATAAATTGGATGTTTATTTGCGTGTCACACTGGTTAGATAATTGCCCGCAGATTCCCACGTGCGTCGTTTGACCTCTGGAGATTATTGTGATTTTCGTTTTCACAGGTTTGTAAACTGTTTATGTGCTCCCACTATGTCTTTCTTTGCTACCTCTAGAGCAGCCAAGTACATCTGAGGAGGAGACTTTTGCTTTCATGTGTCAGAGATGGAGAGGAAGCATGTGCAGAGTGTGATACAAACAGGTTTTTTTTAATCCATCCGTCAGAAAAGTCACAGATATTCTAGCAAAAATAAATAAATAAATTATACATATAGATAAGACAGAGCGATGGAGAGACGAGACAGAAGAGCACATGCGAGTAATTGGTGGCATTAAGTAAAACAAGGCAGTCAGCTTTATTACCGAGCCAAGCTGAGAAATTGTTCCTACATTATATTTCTGTGCTCCCGTCTTGCCGTTGTCTTTCATCCTCCTCTGTGATTTATCAGGCAGAAATGTGCATCTTTTCCCAAGCAAATACAGTCCCCATTTATTTCTGAGCAGACAAGTCCCTTCTATTTGTAGTTATTAATCAGAGTTGACTGTAGCGGGCACGGCCACTGGAGCTCAGACTGATAGACTCTGAGTCAGAGAGGAAAAGCCTGTCACATCCTGCTGACAAATACACAGATTTATGGAGCCCACATAGCCAGCCTACTCTCTATAAACAAATACATTTGCCTGAAAAGAGCTGCTCTGGAAATGGATAGGCCCCGCAAAGGCACATTTTTAGACACGAGGGCACAGTGTTGCTATTAGTAGAGGGTTGGGTGAGAGTTTATAAGGGTATTACAGCTTCTGCGTCTCAGACAGCATGTAGCTTGACTAATTAACTGATCAAACGCAGCTCGTAATCCCCATCAGAGCTGGTTAAGTTAATCAGTTTATTATACACAAAGCCAGTACAAGAGAAGACCACAACCAAGAGCTTGACCTTTCCAATGAGAAGAAAAAGCTGCAGCTTTGTGCAAGTCTCAAATTATAGAGCTTTGCTAATACTTTTGATTTGTTTAGCTTTATTTATTTATTTATTTATTTATTTATTTATTTATTTATTTATTTATTTATTTTTCCTGACAGTTGACTGTTTTGTTTAGTTTTTTTCATTGCAAGAGAAAATTTGGTGCAGCCACTAACCTCTTTCTGTCAGCACCAGGCTGAGGAGATTAGCTGTACGAGTGTCTCTTGTTTCCCAGTGGAGCCCGGCCCCAGTCCATCACAGTTCCAGCTCCGGTCTATGCCAGCAGGACAGGGGGGGGGGAGGGGGGGAACGGAGCGAGGAGGAGTGGTGAAGGGAGTGGGAATGAAAAGGGTTGAAGTCATAGAAAACTTTGGCCGTGATTGCAGTAATCCTGTTATCTCTCCTGCTAAAGCTGGCCACTTTAGTGACCTGGAGACACAAATGTTAAGCTCCCTCTGTCTCTCGTGCTCTTTTCACTCCATCTTCGCTCCATCCTGCTCTCTTTAGCCAGGCTCGTTGAATGCCGGGGTGGTCTTGGCTCTATTGGACTCTGAATTCACAGTCTTCACACACACACACACCAAGAGCTTTTTTTTTTCTTCTTTTTTTTTATTCCCTCAGAACAAAAGGGAGCTTCTCTCTTGAATTTCTCGCTCATCTCATGCATCTTAATGCGTCCGTTGCTCCACGTGTTTATAGTTGAAGAGAATGCGAATGAACTCAAAATCAGCTCCAAGGTGATTAATGTGTGATTGGATAAGCATATTCGAAAGCATGCATTGTTTTTGCTCAGAAGGAGTAAATGGCGTGGTCAATTTTAGCTCCTCATGTATTAGCCAGTTCACACTGCCATTTGTTATCAGGATAATGGGGCGTAAAGAGGGCTATTAGTCCACAACATATGTTGAAATCCTGTACAGATACACACACACACACTCACAGGCCCCTAATACACATAAGCAGCATGAAGTTTGAACAGGTTTCTGATTGTTTTGTACATGTTTTAAAAATCCTGTTTGAAAAAGAAGCCATCTTCTCCAGGCTATTTGGTTTAGAAATAAACTAATACACAAATGCCAACAAACCTGACGAGCGTTTTTGTACCTTTAAAAAAAGTCTGAGCTTAAACTTGAGTAACGTTTTAATCCTGCAAACGAATCCAAATTTTATTCAGATGGACTTTTTTTTTTTTTTTTTTTCCCCCAAAAACAGGGAGCCTCAAAGCAAGAGTTGCACAATATATCATCATCATCATCATCATCCAAATGTTCGCTAGAGACTGTTTGGAATGCAGCATTTGTTCGACGTTATTTCCTAGTTATGAATATTGCAATGCCAATAATGTATTCAGCCCGTTGGATGAAGTCTCACACACACACCTGACACAATCAATCCAATTTCCAAGTAACCTGCAGCCTTGCTCTTAATTATTTATTCACTGAAGTCAAAGGTAAATTGGCCCCAGTTGTTTAAAAAAAAAAAAAACTGAAATACAAGAACTTTTTTTAAATACTTTTTTTTCCCTCCTGATATGATTATCTAAAGCTCAAGTTCTCAGAGTGATGTGTCACGCTTTATTTTTCACTGGACTCCAGCTGCCAACAGGAGATACAACACGTAATCATTTATTATCAACTCGTTTTTGGAATAACCGAGTTCTGCCAATAATCTGTCCCTCCCTCGGATTACAGTAGGAAGGGAAAAATGGCGACATGTGGGCTGACTGAGAATAGAGGAATGAACTGACCTACAGCTAAGTGGGAGGCCACACCTAAAAGGCGGAGGAGGCGCGTCACGCTGTGCTGTGTGTTACTGCAGAGTCCCGTTTTGATTGTAATTCCTGCATGTCAGCGCTTAAACTGACAAACTGCTCCAATTTCGACTTAGTATTCGCTGCTGCAGTGAGATGTTGGTAATAAGATAATTGGCATTCTGCGCTCTTTCTCCTGCAAGCGGACCTATAGATCGGTGCCTATAGGTCAAAACCCGATCAAAGCCCTACAGCTAATCTGCAATGCTAATCTTCCCCCCACCAACAAATAATCGTGCTTAAGAACTGTTTAAATGAACCTCTTTGGAAGCCTGCATAATGTGCCTTTTGTATGTTTAAGAGACATAATAGCAGGGGGGCTTTTCAGTGGAGAAAGCACTGCCCTCTGTTATTAACTCATTAGACCTCAATGCTTTCATTCAGAGCCAATGTCCGACCTCCCCTCTCTGCAAGAATGAGCTCGGTAGCATCACAAAGGCAGCGCATTCCAGCTAAATAATCATGCATTAAAATTTAAAGCAAATAATTAGGATGACTCAAAGCAAGCGGCGCAACGTAGAGAAGATAAGACGGAAACTAACAACGCGTTGACTAAACATGAATGCTCGGCTCCCCTGCTTGAACCCGGAGTTGCCCATTCGGTGAAGGACGTCGAGTTTAGCAGGTAGAGATTCCAACTGGATAATTAACAGATTCCTTCCCATTATAATTGGAATCAGTCTGGCTTATTCCTGAGGAAAGGGGCAGAAAATCGAATCAGTGTTGTGAGCACAGAAATTACAGCCATTCTCCTCCTTAATTAGATGTCTTTGCTGAAATCACAACCACGGGCAAACATTCTGGCATGTCGCACTCAGCATATGGCCGCCGTCTATACGCGCGTCTCTCGTTCGGTGCCGTCGTCTTTCAGATGCGTCTATCTGTGAGACTCTGAGGCTCATTCTGGCTGCTTTCCCTCCTGCTGCCATCTTATTCACCAATCAGACAGATTCAAATAACACATCTTCTTTGGAAACGCTGCTCACTTTGCTAATTTCAGAGGCCTGTTTTTTTTTTTATTTTATTTTTTCTTATTGCTGTTTTAATCAAAGTTACTTCACTGTCTGGAAATGACGAGGGATTCGTGGAATCTGTTTTTAAGTTTAAGAAATGGAGGGGGGGGGGAAAGAAAATTGGGTAGTCTGAAAATATTAGTATTTTCAGACTTTATTCCTGTTACCGCTGTCTAAAAGATCCATTTATCCTGACAGGGTTAAAAATGCAGTCAATTCATGGTGATTCTGTGAATTTATGCAAAACTAAACAAAATGGACTGGGAGCTGAAAGTCTTGTAAACTATTATATTTACACAGAAGATATGCAAAGCCCTAATTTAATAAGTAGTACCACAGAATATTTGGGGGGGGAAAAAATCAGTTTTAGGGATTCATACAGCATCCAGCTAAAATCGAATAAAATTAAATCTGAGGAAGATGTTGCGGATATTATCATGTCATTCCAGATGGTCATTTGGATGGCGACAAATGGTCCACTGAGCAAGTCCCACTGAGATTAAAATATTAAGCATGCATCTACAAATCTCTCCTGGCACAAAAACAAAAATGAAATTAAGGAGTTTCACCATGCGAGAACAATGAGCGGTTGACTAATGGCTCGATCACTTACTTAATCACAGCCCAGGTAGCCGGCCGACTGGGGGGGGTGCAGCGGCTGCATGCAAATGCTGTAGCCGGAAGCCGGCCGTGCAAACTCTGAGGCACGGCTTAAGCCTTGTTGGGGGGACACAAAAGCTCGGCGGAGACACGCTGGTCCAATCTTCGGGGCTGCATACAGGAACACAATATCCCGAGCCTAAGATGTTCCACACCCCTGCCTCAGGCTGGTGCTGTGTGTGTGTCAGGCTCTGTGTGCGTGTCTGTACGAGTCCAAGTTTTCAATAGGCTTGATGTGATGTCCTTTTTATCTCTGCCAGCGTGTGAGTGGATAAACTCTTCTTTCCAATGCAACGGTTCTGCATGCGAGTGAGAAACAAAGTGCGAGCTGTTATGGGTTATAGATTGTTTGTACACGTTTCCACTGCACCTGCATGGTTATTGACGGCGAATGTTGCTGATAACTCTCTCTCTGCCACTTTCTCTCCCGTCAGGAGGTGATGCAGATGGAGAGGCAGCTCGGGGGTCGGCTGATTGACGAGCCCCACGTCCTGCTTTTCAAAGACAGCTACCACAACCTGCGCCTTTCCATCCACGACATGCCCCAGGCGCACTGGAGGAGCAAGCTGCTAGCCGGCTACCAGGTGTGTTGGGCGGGGGTCGCTCTGGACGGGGAGCGGGGAACAGGAAATGTAATTCTGGTGCCTGACTAAATCTGTCAAATTAGTGAATCAGCTTTTAGAGCAGGGGTGTCCAACTCTTTCTTTATGGGCCGTAACGAGATCACGAATGTGCTCATGGGCCGGTTTGTGCCAGGATGTTTTGATGAAACCCAAACTGTTCAAATGTTATTGGAGATCTGACTCTGCATTCGTAAAATTAAACAATGTTGAGTTTTACAATATTTGTGCTTTTGTATAAATGCAGCTTCTTGTTACATGCACAAAATAAGTAAAAAGTAAGGAACACTGCCACCTGCAGGTGGGAGTTAAATCCAACGTTTTTGGCCATTTTTTGCATAAAATTCGCAACAATGTCCGTAAAACAATGCCGGTGTCTGTTGATTTTGCGTGAATTTTTACAACCGTGGAGTCGCGAGAAACTGGAGGGACCGATTTATGTAACTTGGACTCTGGAGTCTATACAGGGCAACATTCAAAACTACCAAAGGCCAGATTTGACCCCCGGGCCTTGAGTTTGACACGTGTTTTAGAAGATTTCTTTACTTTTGCTGTTGAATTAGATTGTTACATTATTTAGAAGCAACTTGTTATCACTAATTAATTTTAATGGCCTGTTATTCTCTGTGGAAACGTGTTTTTATCTTGGCTCAAATTTTTAATTAGGCCTGTTCTAGACCAACTTGTATTCAGTATCCACTCAAAGCGAGGGGCTTATTTGTGTCTATTTTTTCCTAAATCTTCCCAAGTAGTTCACTAATTTATTGTATTATATTGTGTGCATGTTTTAATAGCGTGTATATGAGAGCTGTGTGTGAGTGTGTGTGTGTGCGTGCTCTAACCCAAAGGTGCAATCTTATTGATTAAACTAGCTGCTGCTCTCAAAGGGAGCTCGGATGAAATATGGAGCAGAATGTAAATAGTTTGCAGGCTGAATTTTTTTTGGAAGCCCTCTCTCCTCCTCCACGGCTCTCTTTTCCTGCACAGCCAGCAACCTTGCAGTCCTGCGATGGCAACACAAGGGCTATTCAAAGGGGGTGGGGGGTGGGGGGGCTAGAAAATGTTCTGGCTGTAACTATGTAAGCACTGAGCACCGGGTCCCTAAAGAGCGCGCAGGCTGTGCCAAGCAAGCAGGGGCTGCAACAATGCACCCAGAGCAGAGGCTTATTTCTCTGGACTGCGCCTGTTCATTTGGAAGTGTTGTTCCCCGCTCAGCAGCACAGTCAGAAAGACCTTTGCTCTCCCCGGAGCCGCTTGAAGACGTTTGCGTGCTTCGCCCACCGCCCTCCGATGGTCCGACTGGGTAACAGTGCCCCCATTTGGTCGGCGTCGTGCACTGCAGGCCCACTTGACTCTCCAAGTGAGGTCTTGTTAGCAGTTGAACTCGGAGGAAAGTGGGAAGGGTTTTTTTTTTTTTTCTTTTAAACTTTCTCCTTTTTTCCCACAGCATTACTACCCTGCTTCTCCTGGGTTATGTAAATGAGGCATGAATATGGAGCAACAGAAATAAAAATGTTGAAATTGTCAGTCTTAATAAATTCGGCGAAACACTGTACCGTAGCTCTATCAGAGCAGATACACTCCAAGCTGTTATGCATACATGTGTACGTATCCGTGCCCCTTGGCGTATTTCATGTTTAGCATCATTTAGAGCTGTGTAGTTGCAGGAAATAAAAAAAAAAGGATAAAGAGGAAACCGTGATCCAGACATAGCATTTAAGCTCCAAGTTTGACACTTTCTGTAATCCTCAGCCAGTCATCTTTTAACTGCTGCTCAAGATGCTATTTGTCAGCAACTGCAAATGTATTCCCTTTCACTCCTGTAGCCATTTTCACCTAATGACCGCAGTTTATGCCAGCGTAATTAATGATAATCTCGGCGTGTTACAGGTGGGCGGCCCTGTTTCAGACACGCGGCCCTGACTGTGCCGCTGCAATGTTTTTTCCGCAGGAGATCCCGTTCTACCACATCTGGAACGGTTCCCAGCGGTACCTGCACTGCACGTTCACTCTGGAGCGGCTCAGCCTCAGCACCTGCGAGCTCACCTGCCAGCTGTGCGTGTGGCAGGTGGAGGGGGAGGGCCAGAGCTTTGCCCTCGACTTTAACATTGCCAAGGTAACAGTCGGAGCACGCAACTGCTGCGATCTCGCGTTTCGATTACTCACACACACACACACACACACACACAGGCCGTTTTCGGTGCTGAGCTTAGAAAGGTGTGTGTATCTTGTGTCTTTCGGCCGCTCTCACCAGGACACGCGAGGTCTGGACTCCGAGTTCCTGCTAATGGACAGTAATGCGACGGCTCTGGCCGGGCCCAGCGCCTTTCAGATCCCGTATCTCATCAGACAGAAGATCTGCGGCAGCCTGGATGCGCCCTGTCCCAACGGAGCAGACTGGAGAATGCTAGCACAAAGACTTAAACTTGAAAGGTAAATGCAAACTTTGTAATGATCTAAAACGTGATCCGATCACCCGATCTGAGCATCAGAGAACGTGCAAAGAGTCCTATAAAGCGCGTCCCCAGATATGCAGACTTCTTCTGTGGAAATGTTAGACATCAGTGTAAAAAGGAGTAACCTTTAAAGGTATTAGAAGATTTTAAATTTTAAACTGTCCTCACGGTGAAACATGGCCGGGGTAGCTTCATGGTTTGGGAATGCTTTTCTTCATGAGTGTTTGGAGTCATCTGGAGTTTGTTGCAATGAAAGGTATTTAACTCAGAAAGGCTGCAGAATCAAATGACTGCCATGCTTTTAAAATTCATATTTGTAAAAAGAAAAAAAAATGTGAAACCAACTTTCTTTTTTCATTTTAGGTCATAATCATGCACTCAGTTGTACATAAAATCCAGAAAAAAATATTTGTATATTTTTATGTGACACAATGTCGAAAAGCCCAGCACTGCATTTAGAAAACAGAACCGGAGTTTCATTTTTTTTTTGTTTTTTTTTCTCTGTATTTGTAAAACTCTTGACCATCAATGAACGTGAAGTGCATCCATGTTCGCTCTAAAGTTCAGGTAAACAAGGTAATGCCTTAGCAAACTAATCCTCTTTCGACTCAGCTAACATTATGGGATTAATGCGGACTTGATGGATACAGCTATCATTCCTCCAAGAAAACATGACCCCTGTCTTCCCTTTTCCCTCAGAAACAGGTAAGCAGCTTAAAGTCTGCCGCTAAACTTCTGGCTGCGACATCCTGCTTAACAGCTGTAATTGGAAAGGCTGCAAGCTAGCTGCCCATCAGCGACCGAAAAGAAAAGGGAAAAAAAAACAACAAAAAAACAGAGATGGAATAGTTTTGGATCTGTGCCGACCTCAGTCCAATTTGTTCTCCCGGTTACTGTACTTTATCACCGAAGCATCTGTAACAGAGTGAGGCCAGACATTGATCCCCTATCCGCCAATTTAATTTCTACCTCGTAATGAAATCAAATAGGAGCACCTAATTTGTCCAATCAACTTTATTTACCCCAATTAATTCCAGCCTGGAATTGATGCGCTGCAGGTTTAATTAGCGACGTTCAGCTCAACATAATCAATTCTCATTTAGGTCCTAAGGAAGGAACAACTTCTTTGTTGTTTGATCTGTCCTTAACAACATGTTTTCCTGAAAAGGCGGCAGCTGCTTGGCATTCTGTCATGCTGTATTTCTGTGTTTGTCTCTGACTGCGTAAAGCGTTCAGACCAAGCGGAACAGGACCGATCAATAAAACTTAAAATGCCAAGAACCTTTTATTTGATCTTTCTCTCTCCCAAGACCGAGCTAACGTCTGTGTCTGAGCTGCACAAGATAAGCCGGGGTTTCACACAGCGAGGTGAATAAGCACGGCTGACGCGTTGGACGCCAGGCTGCTTTTCTTTTTTTTTCCTTCTTCTTCTTTTTTTTTTAAAATCTGGTTAATGACACAGAAGCTCATCTCTAGATTTTTTTTTTTTTTGATGACCAACACTTGCCTTTGTTGTTCTCAGGAAGTCGTTTGCGCTATAAAATCCAGCTGGACCGAAATGACACAGTGTTGTCGGCACTGCGTGTACAGCCAAAGCAGTCACATGTTCGTAGCCGTCAACGAAACGCTCCAGCAGGCAGACGCGAGGAAACAACAGACTCTCTGGCTTTTCTAAAACGCATCTCATTGTCTGTCTCTTCCCTTACAAAAAAAAATAAATAAATAAATAAAACACTCCAGAGTGTGTGTTGCTCTTTTAATGTCATACGTGCAGACCCTGGACATTTGGAGAACAGAAAAAGGCTTTTAAATCAAACAAGCGTCTTCAGCTACTGCGGGGATCAGGTCCCGCACGACATCAAAACTGCAGCCGGCCGGGGCCACCGCTTTGTTGTCATTGATTGGGTTTGATCGAGGAAGGTGCCGCGCCTAAGACGAAAAAGGTCACATCCGACTTAACTGTCAAAAGTTCATATAGGATTTGCCGTATGAGATTTGGGGGCCAATTGCAGCATCAAATAAAAAGCGGTGAAGGCTACGCAGTTAACACACGTGGACAAATTCGCTATTGTTAAAGTTGTTTTTTTTAAAAAAAAAAAAGTCTTAAAACTAGTTATTTTTTTTCTTGGAAGAGTAGCAACATAAGGGAGAAAGCAGTCTTTAACGTGCGTTACATTTATTCAGTCAAGAAGAAAAATCCTGATTAGGTGACATCATTGTTGGTAGTCTTACTCTGCAGAAGCCTCTTCTGTCAATATCTCAGCAGTTTTATCCCTAATGTGACTTCTCACAGACTGGGAGTACAATCTCTCCCTCTCATTTAGAGCGAGAGACATCTCTCTTTTATTCAACTCACATCACAGGATTTATTAGGCCTGTGGACTGAAATGGAAAGAGGCTGGTTTCATGTCTGATGTCTAGTAGCGTGTTGATTGGGCCGTATAGTTTGGATCAATCTCAAAGCTGAAAGACCCGATGGCCCGCCAGAATTTTATTTAAAGGCACATAGGGACATTTTATAGCACACTCAAGTAACTATTTTACCTTCAGCTGTTATGAAAATGCTGCATGTATCAAATCGTCACCTCACTAAAATAACGGCCTAAGTCATCTTAATGACTGAAACCATTATTTTTTGGGAAGGTGACAAAATATCATCAGAAATCTGACTTCACAATTGGCTTTCGTCTCTTTAAGAAGCTCCGTCTCTTTCCGACAATGCCTTTCCATTAAGGTGTTTCCTAGCGTGTTTAGCAGATGAGATGTAGTTTGTACAATTAGCTCAGCAGGTGTGCAGTTCCACCAGGTGTTTGCTAACTGCTGCTGCCGCTAGTCTGATGGAGCTGTGCGGGGAGAAACTCAGCAAAGGGACTCAAGCTCCAAAGAGGAGCGGTGATTTGTGGGTGAATGGCTGCCACGCTGTATAAAGCTAGGAAAAAGTCAATTTGACATAATACTCCTTATTTAAGGTTTTCATTTCAGAGATTTCACAATGCCATGCACTCTAACAAGGCAGTCTGTGGAGCAGAAACACCCAAATGAAATCACACAGTGTCACAGCTCCTCCTATCACAATAAGATGGTTCAAGTGTTCATTATTTGCTTCAAGCTAACTCAACCTGGAGTGTTTATTGGTGGATCTCAAGGCAAGTTTGGACTATTACACCAAGAATTTTCATTTATCCTGGTTGTTTCTACCATGATTTCCTCTGACTGTGCCCTTAAAAAAAATGAATTTACTGCTTCATTTGTAGCCATGTGTTAGTGATTTAAAACTGACAGCTAAAGATAACAAAATATGAACTGAGGATATTTATTCATGTGAAATTCCACATCCTTAGCACTCCCTCTCCAAAACTCCACCCAAAGGTTCCCGTCTACCCCGGTGATTTCTTTATTTTTTTCCTTGTAAATGTAGAGTAGAAGCAGTGAGGAAATAAATGGTGCTGGAAAACTACTGTGTGGAAAAGGTTCCTGCTGTTGATCCCACCTGATCAAAGCAGTTAAAGACGCAGAAGTGATTAGGAAACTCCCGGCGTGTGTTTGCTATGGTAGGACAGAAAATTGGCAAAAATTAGCATTCTCTGTGTTTGCGACGCACGTTGCAGTTTTTTATCTGTGAAAGATGCTATATGACTGAAAAGTACTTGGATTACTATGTAGAGGTTTGTTGAAACTGTATTTTAAAAGAGGGCTAGGAGGACCAAAAATTGTGCCAATGGGGATTTTATTTATTTATAATAATTTTGTGCTGACTGAATACATGTACTCAAAGGTTGGGCTTTTCAAAAATCTTTTCAGTTTGAGATGCGGCATTGAAGGCCAACACATTGGTCCACATTTGCTATTTTGGATTTGGTTTCAGCTTCAAGAGGCAGAACTGGTTGGGATGTAGTGCCGTGGTGCAGAACAAAAGCTGACATTGACAGAGCTACAAAAACCGCAGAAGCGCCACAAAATATCAGCTGAAAAGGTTTTTCTCTCTCTCTCTTCCTCTCTCTCTCTCTCTCTCTCTCTCTCACTACGACTTCTCCAAAGGAGAGAAAATGCAAAGCTGCCTTTTCTGATCTCTCATTATCCTCTGCCTCTCGTCTCCTTTGCTCCGCAGACACATGAGTTTCTTTGCATCCAAAGCGAGCCCGACCTCTGTGATCCTGGACCTGTGGGAGGCGCAGCACTTCCACAGCGGCAACATCAACCAGCTGGCTACGGTCATGGCTGACATCGGCAAACAGGAGGCCATGATTTTCCTAGTCTCTGACGGCGAATGCTAACCCAGCAACGGAGAGAAAAGAGAGGGAGGAAGAAGAAGGAGAGAGAGAGAGAGAGAGACTGGTGCAGAACACAGCAACATGCAGACATAACACTAAGAGCAGCTGGAAACAAAGAGCAGCGCTGTCCCAATGTGTCTCTTCTTTATTTTTAGGAAATAGCGGAAAGTTTGTCTAGGATCGTGTCCTTTTATTCACACCCCCAAAACAGTAAGGGACGTCTGTAAACGACGGGTTTCATTAGGGCGAAGGCTGAGTCGTGCGTTCCCGTCAGAAGGTTTTACGATATTTTAAACATGATATCACTTTCACTTTTTGTTCAGCGAGCTAAGAAGGAGCAATATGCAAATGCAATGTTCTAACTTACAGCCGATGTTGCAAATTCCTCTCAATCTTTTATGAACTTGGTTCGGAAAAACCTGCGTTACACCCGGAATAACAAGGAGGGCCGGTCAGTCAGTTCAGGTGAAATATGCAATTGGCAGGTGACCATGACATTATCTCAGACACGTTGTCCTGCGTGTGAGCGACCACGACGGCGCGTAGCACCGCCTGCACGCTGCAGGTTTGAAAGCAGATTGTATGCCCCAGAAGTCCCGTCTCATCACGGTCTGTGCTTTTTCTTTTTCTTTTTTTTGTGTTAGTCCAGCCGGTATCACTACTGTGAATGTAACATCTAGACATCTTGATTCAGCGAGACGCTTCGCAGCTTTTTCTGCTTCGAAATCAATACGTGTGTGTGGTTGGAACCTTTCTTCTTTAGGAGAGCAGTCAGTTATAGTGCATCTCCACTCTGAGAATGAAGTCCTTTGATTTTGTTTCATCTCGTGCAGTACCCTACTCTGATCGTTCATCGTGTTACGGTTTTTTTTTTTTTTTTAGGTTGTTGTTTTTGTGCGTTTTAGATTTCTCAGCTAATGAAGGAGCCATAAGCGCTAAGAGGCGTTCTCACTGCATTTATGCGAACAGCGAATGTCGTCAAAAGTGACATTTTTCACCTCCTTGATTACATTCATTCTCCAGCACGCGAACATTGGCCAAAAAAAAAAGGGTTATTAAACTACATGAATAATGTAGCGCACTTTGCCACAGAAAACTCTGAAAACAAATTCTTCAAAATTGTCACGAGATTAGTCACGTCGAAAGGGATAACTGTGCAGCTTTGTTTATGTTATTTATAAAGCAATTTTGGTGGGAATTCAATATTTGCCGCGCGGCAAACAGTATTTCCACATCAGAGACGAGCCGTCTCTCAGTCAAAAATTCAGTCTTTTTGTTTGTCCAAAGCAACGCTGGAAAGTGTGTGTTTTCTCTCCCTTTTTTTTTTTTTTGCATTAATTTCCACAGTAATTTCTTAGTAATGGATGTGTCAAGTCATGAACAGAGCTCGATGAAAACCCCACAGGTTGAGCAGTGCACTTCACAGACGGTGTGAGCAATCCCAAACTAGCCATAGTTCTGTCTGCCTCAGGGTTGCATGTGAAGCTGTCTGTTTAAAGCTGGAAGGAAAGGCCCTTTCTCCATCCCGCCATCCGTGTCTCAGCCTTTAAACTTCAACGGATTCCTTTTGCGATTGTCAGATATCTGGAATGTACCTTTACGTTTTTCTTTCGTAAAAAAAAAAAGGGGGGAGGAGCAAAAAAAGCACCTGTTTTTCTTTCACCGGGTTTAAAACTTGTGTTTCCCATGGCAACTCAGATCTTTCCACCCCTTTATAAACACTTTCAACCCCTTTTTATATGAAGATGCCATAAAAATCCAATGTTACCTTTTTGAGAACCCTTGGATTATTCCCTCAAAGAAAAAAACAACAAAGATGATTACGCCCAATCATCGCCACATTGTAATATGTAAATAGTTTTTCTATACCAGCCACGTGCTGTCACTTTGCATACTGTATATCAGCAGAGTTGGTAACCAAAGTTTTAGGAATATCATTTGAGTCCACCACATCCTCATATTGTATCCATCAGAACCGTTTTGACACCGTTTGTACTTGCAGAATCAGTCAGTTTACCATCGTTTAGCTTTTTGTTGTATTCTTTTTCTTCTGAAAGTCGATGCATAATTTGATCACTTTGTAAACAAATGTAAATTATATTTTAATATGAAGCCAAAAAAAAAAAAGAAAAAAAAAGAAGAACGCAACACTTAACTGGCGCAACATTTGTCAAGTCTAAAAACCGTGACGTGTTTGCCTATATCCTGTTCTTTGGCGATCTAGCAGTGATTTGCAGTGTTAAGGGTTTAGAGGCCGTTTTCGCAGGACGTTTCTGTTCGCTCTCATCCTGGGTCTTTTCATTCCCGCCACTTGTTGGAAAGCATTTAAACACAAAGGTGGAAGCAGTCGCCGACGCTCTCGGTGAGTCAGCGAGGCTAATCGCCGGAGGACGTCAGTCCTCGGACGCCGTCGAGGCAGCAGCATGTTCAGGGGGAGGAAATGAGCCGCGGTAGTTGTACAGTCAGACTGTAGCTCGGGAAGTTTTAGCACCCTCGTCATCGTCTTGGATGTGTTGCCTAAGCACATTTTCAGTGATGTTGCACAGCATCTGTCTTCACATCTGAGTCACGCAGCACATCTGCACTTACAGTGTGATGAACGCCGGCTACTTCATGATAAAATCTCAGACTGATAGCTCTGTGGAAGACCCGCCGTGTCTGTAACACAAATGCTTTGTTCGAGGGTTTATGCTGTCAGTTCACCCTGTGATGCATCTCGGCACTGTATTCTTTGTCACTCATTACTATTCGGTGTGGAGGACGTGCGCATATTTAAGTATGTGTTTGTGTGTGTGTGTTGTGTGTGTGTGTGTGTGTGTGTGTGTGTGCAGACCTCCCTGTCACTGACTGAACGGTTTTCTTTTTTGAACTAAGAACAATAGACTTCTGTACTTGTGAATGGTTTTCTATTTAGTTCCTTGGTTCAATGTCCCTTGCCTTTCTGCAAGTCAAAAATGCTGTATTTATTACATGCCACAGCGCTTATGCAATTGTATAATCCTTCTATTGTTTTCTTTGTTTGGAGTTTTTCTTTTTTTAACAAAAAAAAAAAACCTTTTGTGTTCCTTATCGTCAATGTAAACTGTTGTCAAAACTTTTGTGGCAGTGGAAAACTTCTGCTAAGGGAGATTTTCTGTACTTTTGGACAATGTTATGGATTTGTGGGTAGAATTTTGGAAATTCGTTTCTAAGTGCTTTCAAGTATTTACTTGGCCTTATGTATATATATCTATCTATGACATTTCAAAAACCTATGTATAGTAATTCAATCGGAAATTGTTGTAAATAAATTATATATTGTTACATCAAGGACTGGATTCTTTACATTAAAACGGATAATAATAAAAAAAAAAGATCATGTGTTCAGGTCGTCTTAAAACAACTATTAAGACTTTCATTATGTTATATTTTGCTTAATTTCTCCAAGTCCAGCAAAAACATTCAGTCCCAGTTAAAGCAGAAACGGAAACAAATCCATGTTCACCCACGTCAGCAATTTCTGCAAAGTCAGCAGCAGTTTCCACTTGCAGAAAATGAAATTATAATATTACGCATAGGCAGTCAACATATTCATCCAAGATTTTTTTTAAAGGATAATTCATTCATTGTCATCAGATAATTTGTCTCCATCCCAAAACATCCATGCCACTATTTTAACGATGGGTTGAAATTAGTGACATTTAAGCTGAAAGGTTCAGCCAATTTAAAAAAAAAAAAAACCTCAGCATCTGATGGTTTAACTTTGCTATCATGTCTAAAACAATAGCTTGGTGCAGAAGCAATAAAACTGAGAAGTCGGAGCAAAGCAAAGCTCACATAGATGACTATTAGACAAGAAGGCAGCCGGTCACAATCAGGGATACGTCTGTAACCGAGAAGCAAATGATGACGTCTTTTACTTTTCAACAAACCTCCAACATAAACAGTGTTATATTTTGGAGGAAAAAAAAAAAAAGTTACTTTTGAGTAAAGAACACTTGTGCAACAAATGTGCAAGGTCAGCACAAAATTTCCACTTCAGAACGGACCGCCGAGTTTAAATTCGGTTCTCGTTGCAGAGACGCTGCGCAGTTCTCTGTCTTAGTGATTCCATTTGTTATTTTGGATGTTTCAGCTATTCGTCGTTTGGAAAATCTCTCGGTTTAAATAACCGACTACAAAGGGCGCTCAGCGTTTTCTGCCTTCCACATTTTGTACTTTTCCATTCTGTGATTATTGTTGCACAATAAAAGTCTCCAGGCAACAATTGATATCAACCATAGGTCAAATCGCATCTCCCATACACAGAGAGAACGTGGTTAATAATCCAGCAGGAGGTTGCTCACATTCAGGGATCAGATCTATAGTCAAGCCTAATATGGTGCAAAATTCTTAGAATGTAATGCAGTATTATTATTAATTATTATCTTCAATATTCATCAAAATACCAAACAGAGAAATAAACTGATTCACAAGAGAACAATAAATGTATTCAAGATAGTTGGTATGAAATGCAAAGATGATTTGGTTAAAAAATAAACCCAAAGCTCTTTGAAGGCAAAAGTTAAGGCTGCAAGATATTTGGAAAATATTTTATACTGAACAATAAATACTAAATGCTGAAGCAACCCATCAAGGCCATGTGACAAAGAAACAAATGTTTTGTTTTTTTTTAACACATCAAGACCTACTGAAAAAGTTTGGGTTTAACATTTTAATAAAAAAAAATAAAAAAAACACAACAAAAAGAAGCGCCTCAGTCTTTTCTGTGGGTTAAGTAAATAGTTTTATTTGAAAATGTAAGCTATAAACACATGCAGCCCAGATCTGAAGCAGTTTAAATACATGGTATGGAGCTAAAGTAATGAGGTGTCGTGATATTATGTCACGATGAAAAGAAAAAATTAGAGTTTGATTCCCTTTTCGGCTTGGAAATGTGAAAAGGGGAATTTCTTTACATTATGGAGGTTCTCCATTAAACACATCTGTGACATTTTAAAATGGGACCAATTAAGGATTTCACCGTCAAACATTCTCATCTATTGGCTCCGACTTGTCAGCACTGAGGTGGAACCTGCAGCACTTCATGCTTCTTGAGGAGGAAGAGGAGGAGGGGTTGGTGGTTCGGTCCAATCAGGCAGAAAGCAGCAGCCCCCCCCTCCCCCCCTTTGCTGCCTGACTGCTTCCCATCACATTAAAGGGCACTGCAGGTGTGTGATTACTACAGGCTCACTGACTCCTTTAGACCACCGATGTCACTTCACAAAGATTGAGGATGATTGCAATGAATCTCGGTAAAAAACACAAGAGCGACTTTTTTTCATTTTTAGATAAAAATCAAGTAGGCACGGAGTTGAAATAATTCCTTGCTTGCATCCAGTTTTGCAGTGCAGCTTTCGTCTTTGCGGGCAGCGAGGTGGACTGTGTGTGTGAAGCTAGCGTTGAGCTCGGCGTATAAAAACAAAGTCTGCGGGATAGAAAAGAAGCCTGCGCTCAACTCCGTGTGTGTGTGTGTGTGTGGCTGGCAAAGGACGGGATGTGGAGTTTGTCGGAGGGCGGGGTGGGATAAAGAGGAGGTGGAGGGAGATGCGTTGCTTCCTCTGAAGGTGTAGCCGGCTGTCTTACACCGGAGCAAAAGCGTGGCCTTTGCACAGGGGCTTATCCTTTTTCGAGTAGAACGTCTTCCCCTCCAGGTTGATTTGGCAGAGCTTTAAAAGATGAAAGAAGACAGAGAGACAGATTGAGAAACCAGGGCAGAGGAGACAGACTTCACCAGTGCACCGTTTTCAACAGGGCAGAGATTGTAGATGTTATTTACTCGACTCGGGAGTTTTCCCCTCACAGAAATGAGCGGGAGCCGGAGATCGCGAGACAGACAGCAGGTGACAAGTTAAAGGACAAAAACCGAGGGAAGAGGCAGATTGTTCAGGTGCGGCTGGACGGGGACAGATGGGGAGATGTGGGCCGAAGAGAGGAGTCGAATCAATCAAAATGACTTACAGCACAGACGAAGCACGTGTCATGCCAGCTGTAGCCCAAGGCCTCCAGAAAGCGATCGCCGGCATCAATCTTGAAGTCGCAGCCATGGCATTTGGTACCGAACATCTTCTCATAGTCTGGAGAGAGAAAAAGAAAAACATGAAAGAATGAGAGAGGGGGATAAAAAATGAACTGTTCTCATCTATGAGATCAGATCAGGAGACCTCCATGACCTCCTCTCTTACATCACTTCACCTGAAAGGGGAGTTCAGAAACACAGATTGTAAAAGCCTTTTATGTTTAATAAAACCGGAGGTCTCGGCTGTTTACGATGATATCTCCCACCAAACAGCCACTTAAAGGGATTGAACCGCGGCGGGAACGGCGCGCCGATGCCAGGTGATGGCTCCTCTCCTCATCGCCGTGGAAGTTTTGTGGCATTTTGTGCAGCAGTCGGGAATTTTTCTAAGGAAGGATTAGGATGTGGGGGGGAGCGGAAGTATTACTCTGGATACTTGACCGGTCTCTGCTGGTCTCTTTCATCACAAGGACTCTGGGGGAAGCGTCGGGTTATAATGCCGCTTCTCAGGAGCGAGAGGCTGAGAGCTGCTCAATCCCTGCAAGATGCTGAGGCAGCAGAATGTTTATCAGAGCTAAAGGCGTTATTCAGAATATGAGCACTTGGCTTCCCGGCTCCTGCTCTGATAAAGCCGTCGTGCAACGTCGGGAGCGTCAGCGGTGAGCAAGGAGCCCGCCGCCCCGCTAAATCATTTGTGGCATAATGGAAGCGTACACACCATTCATAAAAGCCAACAGAGAAATGCATGGCAAACTGGAGCTAAATAGATTAAAGCAGATGAAAACATCACACTTTATGATTGACTGCTACGCGCCGCCTAATTCTACGACACAAAAGCTCGGAGCGATGCTGCACCCGCGTTTTACAAAACTCTCTGACAAATGGCCTGATAAGGGGAGGGGAGGGGGGGGGAAATAAAACATCTTCGAGAAAGAAACTGGGGAAGGGATGCGCTGCGGTGAGTTTCTGTTACAAAGGAGGCAGCTTTTAAGAAAAACAAACAGTGAGAAAGTCCTTTGTTCCACCCAGTGGCTGCGTTTCTTCTGTTCTGTGGCCTGAACTGCTTCCTCCATCTGAAGGGAAAAGATCAAACATCCATCACAAAGTCAACGCTGTGTGATGGCATGTCAGTCCTCCTCACTTCACCCGTGGATTTCTCACCAGTAAGCATTTATAATAAATATGTAGGACCGGATCCGGGCGTGAAGTTACACGGGTTGAGATGTTTCTCAGTTGGCAGTGGAACTAATCAATCTGTGCATGCAGATTTTCAGCACTTTTTTTCCTTCTCCTTTTTTGCCAAAGCTTTGTATTATGTCGCTGTTAAATGGAGTCTGACTTTATCTCTGATTTGAAAATAAGCTTCCTGTTACAATTTTTTTTTCTTTCTGAATGTCACTGTCTGTTCAGCTTATCCTTTCCAACCCCCAACAGATCCACCAAAACCCACATGCGGTGCTTTGAAAAAGTATTTATACCCTTTGAACTATTGCACATTTTGTCATGTTAGAAAGATGAGAAAACATTTGCATCCCACGTGTGTTTGTTCATTCTACAGAGAAAAAAAAAAAACACTTGAAGCTTAGTCACACCGGATGACGAGCATCACTAATCATATCCTGCTGTAGATCCTCAAAAGGATTTCAATCTGAACTTTGACTGGGCCATTTCAACACACAAATAGGCTTTTATATAAACCATTCCATTGTAGCTCTGGCTAAAAGTCGAGAGTCCGTTTAGCACATCCAGAAGTTTTAGACGCCAGTCAAAAAATCCAGAGAAGATAAACACCTCATAACATAAACTAGAGTTTTATGTGTGACATACCTTGAGCTAGCTGCTGGGAGCAACATTAAAGGAGCAACATGTGGCTGCGGAAAGCAACTGGACGTCACATCAGAGCAGAAGACTCCGTGTCCTACATAAATGGAGCCAAAACGGAAAGTAAACTTTCCTCGGAGCCCTTCAGCAGTGATCGAGCAGAGCTGAGGCAGAGCAGCT